TTGAGTATGGATGTTTATTTATATTTAATATTCAAAATGAAAATGAAAATGAACATAAATTAATGATATGTAACATTTTATCTTATGCAGTTAGATCATAAATGTTGAATCTAAATATTTATTCTACTCATATAAGGGATAGTCCATGGAACTACACAGGTATGTTTAAAATGGAACCATTTAAGCATGGTAGTAGAAATAAATGGGTATCCTACTGATATACTTTAAAATATATGATTAAAAAACATCATTGTTATCGTTTTACTTGATACATAATATACAAAATAATTTGATATTTGATACAAAATTTTATATAAAGAATAAAATAAAATTGTAAATTAAAATTAAAATCAAAATTAATTGAAAATCACAATCTATTATTTTTTATATAATCCCAGTTCGACAATGTATTATTTTTATGTAATCTCATTTCGACAATGTATTATTTTTATGTAATCTCGTTTGTACAATGTATTGGTTTTTATATAATGTCGTTTCTACACTTTGATTTTTTTATATGATTCTTTTGTAACCTCTTTATATTGTATTTGTTAGGGAGATTATTATGAAGCATTTGTTAACATAAAATCGAGCATTGAAATTTCAAATACAATTTTGAGGGCATTGCGGTAGTCGGGAAACCGACTAGAAATCTTTAGAAATACTTGATTCGGTCATTGGCTAGATACTCGGTCAACATATCAAGATCTGATGCTCGTGCATTTGATGTTACAAATGCATGTGTTACCACCTGAGCAAGACCGTAAAGAATCATTGTATTTTAATGTCGGAAGACGTGTTTTACGTTTTGGGCGAGAATAATTTTGTCTCGTTACTGGTATGAAATTTGGCTTGAACAAGCCTTCGCTACCAGAGATAACTGAGCCGTCCTTTAGATCTCGAGTTTTAGACCTTGACGAAAATCGTCCGGTACGCAGGAGTGATCTTACCCGTGTTCTTGAGCAACAAAAATTCGTAACAATAACAGACATTGATGCAGTACGCCTATATCTTTTGCTTATAGTTTCCATTGGATTTATCGGTCAACAAATGAACCATATAGTCTCTGATGACTATTTATGGTTAGTTGAAAATCTCGATGCATGGAACATGTATTTTTTTTTAAATATGGTATATTTTTAAACTATTTAGTTGTATAGTTTTATTACGTACATTGTATCACTGACCTATAATACTTTTGTGACATAGGTATGCTTGGGGTAATAATTTTTGGGAGTCACTATACTCTCAAGTTAACGATGTGTTACCAAAACGCAAAAAAACTCATATTCAAAAACGTCAGTCGTCTAAACACAAATGTAGATACACATTGTCTGGATTCGTTTTTGCATTTAAGGTAACTTTTAATTAATTGTTTACTAACCGTAAACTAACGAAGTTGTATTTAAATTAAATTGTTCACCGACTATAATTTTTTTTGAAATGTAGACATGGATATTGGAAGCATTTCCACATGCTTCCTTTTCTTATGGTTTACGTACCGATGGAGTCATCCTAGGGCTGGCAACGCACGAACAATTAATGTGACATGATTGTCTTAGATACATACATGTAGATGATATTCAGGATGTGAGTTTGACCAACTTACCTCAAAAATTTTACTTTATTAACTATAACTAAATACTTAAATGAATATATTATGTATGAGAGCTTGCTCCCACGTACAACGTTGACGCCTACTGACATAGAGCTACAATGTCTGTGGTGGAGGTCAAGTTCACGTTTATTTTCAGATGGTTGCAAGGAAAAAGACTGGTGCATCGAGTTCGTCGGCACCACAATGGTCCGATGATTCGACAGAATATACTGAACAACTTAATCGAATTTTTCAAGAGACCATTGAACTTGTTCACAACTGGATTGCTGAGTGTAAAGCACTTTATCCATAAGAGAATTAAGAAATATGTTTTGCTTAGTTTCGCTTCGTACACTTATATTGTTGTTTTTTAGTCGAACTATTTAGTAATGGTTAATGTTTATTTTTTTGAAAGCCTACTTCACATGGTTGATACTTTGTTGTTTTAAAATCATTTTTACCTTTTTCTGGGTATGTCATTTTAGTATGGAATATATTTTTAATGGTTAATTGTCTAAAGGGATTTTAATTTTTTCAAGATATATTATATATAAACATTAGCAAGGTTGATACCTTGTTGTTTTAAAATCATTTTTACCTTTATTTTCATTTTAAATCAACATAATAAAATAAATGGGCTTCACGAGTTATCACTTTAATTAAAATATGATTATGATCAGGTTAAATATGAACTTTCACCATTAAAAGTTTAATACAAACACCACATATCTTCCAACAAACATGTAGTTTTTTCTTGAAAACTCTCAACTTCGTAAACATATGTTCTCATAAAAAGTCTGTTGCAGTAGATCAACAACATTATATCTATGACCATCTCTTACTTTAATATAAAACCATATTATATCGATATAAATATATAATAAAACTAGACATTAAATTGAGATATGTTTTGATGCATTGCACGAGTACCTTCTAGTGTATTATTAAATGTCAATTTTATGTTTAGTACTTAGTAATTGAAGTTTTATATAATCACGCCGTTATATCAACACATGTTTCCGGTGTACAAACAAATTAATAGTTTATTTTTTCACAAGTTTTCATGATAAATGGCTATACTTATACATTATATGTATATACTCATTAGGTTTCTCACTATATTATTATACTTAGGGGCCGTTTATCAAATACTTACCCGGTAAGTGCTTACCAATAAAATTTAATATTATTATTTTACTTACCATGCATGTAAGATTTTAGTACAACAAAATAATATCGCATGTAACACTTTACCCGGTAAGCACTTACCGTGGTAAGAGTCATCGGCCTCACTTACCGGGTAAGATTGTTAGTCATGGTCTCGTTCTTACCGGGTTAGATTCTTGGTCCTTACCATATCATCCGATGTGGTAATTTGACTTGGTAAGCGTTTGGTAAACGTCTCCTAAGTGTATATATCTATGCTATCTTATAAAACATTTGACTAAAACTCTTAAAAACTCTTAAACCCTTTCATCCTTAAACGATTTCATCC